TGCAGAATCTGTTAGTTCAATCTCTCACTTTATGCTCTCTCTGCTTTTTCTCATAGTAGCTTTGCCTTTGTTCCTGTTTTGCTGTGACACCATCCTGGAGAGAAATATCAGCTGCCATCAACACCCTTGTTTATAGATGATGGAGATGGGCCTGTTTTCTAGTGTAGTGTGTAGTATTTCCTGTTTCTCTGAATGTGACTGGCTGGATGCGCTCTCTTCAACCTCTGACATGGGAGCTGGCTGGGAGCTCGTCTGCCTAGCTGTGTGTTTCTTGTGTTTCCGCCTTTTACAGCTGCTTCTTGTATCTCTGCTTCTGTCTCCTTGAACCCCAGTCGGCCTCGACAGATGGCCGCTCACACTAAGCCTGGTTCTGCTGGAGGTTACTTCCTGTTAAAAGGGAGTTTTTCCTCTCCACTGTCGCTACAAGCATACTTAGTGTGAGGGATTGCATTTGAGTCAATGAGTCAAAGCAATCAACTGGTTTTCCTTAGATAGAAAACTTTTGATCAATTTGACTGTTTGATCTGGTTAAACTGTAAAGTGCCTTGAGATGACTTGTGTTGTGAATTGGCGCTATATAAATAAACTGATTTGAATTGAATTGAATCATCTTTCAATTAACTATAAACTAGGAATAACTGAGATGGGCAATTATTAACAACCTTTTTTTTTTTTTTCAGGAAACTGCAATCACACTGGAATCTTAAGCCTCAGCAATCCATTGGTGGTCCAATTAAATTATCACTTAAATCCAGGTTATCTGTATGGTGGCTGGGGGAGAGACTCCAAGCCCATACGAGGTAATGAAAACATGTACTTTTATGGTGGTTACAATAGCCCTGGAGCAGTTTATGACTTTTATTCTTACTCTAACTATGATAACCTGATCCTGAGGAAAGCCTCAAAACACATTGACCTACCAAATGATTGGTTAGGTGTTGGAAACAACTACATAGTTCGCAGTAATGCCATCTACTATCAGCATAACAGCCCCTTTAGCATGACCAAGTACAATCTGACCTCTTCCGCATATGACTACAGAGTCATTTCATCTGCAAGTACGAGTTTTTCTTATGCCTACTCAAGCGATCAGAACCTGGACTTTGCAGCTGATGAAAGTGGCTTATGGGTAATGTACGCTTCAAACCAAAACATGGGGAAAATTGTCATTGCTAAAATAGATGAAAAATCTTTTGGGATTGAGGATGAGTGGCGTACTGATGTGTACAAACAGACAGCCGGCAATGCTTTCATGGTCTGTGGAGTGATGTATGCCACCAGGTCAGTGGATATAAGCACTGAGGAGATCTTCTATGCTTATGACACCAAGACCAAGCAGGAGAAATACCTCAGCATCACCTTCAAGAAGTTCCAGGAAAAATACAGCAACCTGGATTATAATCCCTATGACCAGAAGCTCTACATGTACAACGATGGCTATTATGTGTCATATAACGTCAAATTTAACAAAGAATGATTCAGTATATTTTTGATCTTCGTATTGTGATTCATACGACTGATCTGCAATTTCTTTCTTCTTAAACCTCTAGGAAACTACACCTTGTTGTATGTTTTCCCTTGTTTTCTTGAATAAAAAAAAACTGAAGCATCCACATGCTGTCTGGAGTGTATTGTGGGATGTGTTTTTGTTATTTGTTATTATTGTTTTTGTTTTTTTGTTTTTTAAGAAAAGACACACGTCGCAGTATTTTAGTTCTACGTTTTAAATTTGGAGATGAAACTTGCCTTCATTTCCATTATTTGATGGATCCTGTAACAGATGTATGCAAATATATATTTTTTTCTCATATATCGATCAAAAGAGAACTTTTAAAATGGAGATTTGCAATAAATTTTCTAAAATACACAAGAAGACACAAAATTGGGATTTGTTTACATCCAAATAGCTGAAATTAGTTTTATTAATTGTTGAAAGGTTGCATTATGGTCCAGATAACATTCAGCCCATTGGCCACGTCTCTGCTCCTGAATTATTTGTTTAAAATATTCAGTTATGGAAAATAAAACAAAAAGGATATTTTGTCATCATCTCAATTGTTTTTAAGCATTAAGAAACAAATACACATGAAGAATGCTAAGATGTGCCTCTTGATGCAGTACCTGCTTCATGCTCTAAATATAAATTTTATATATCTCTGTCGCTGCTAATTTTCACTGTTTCTTGATAAGGCTTTTGTTTTTGGAAAACAAAAAATCTTTACAGACTGTTTTAGTTTCGATGAATGCAAAATCTTTATATGTTACAATTAAAGAAGCATAAGGAATAATCTAGGTTTCAGCAACCCTCCCTCCTTGGAATATTTGGAATAAGGTTGCAGGATCAGATTTCATGGTCATGCCGGTGTTCTTAACTCCACTCTGTAAACCTGCCCTCCCTTAGGGTGTGTGCCTGGGTGGTTGGGGGTGACTCTCTTTTGTGCTGTAGTTGGAGCCTGGCTCCCTCTGGTACAGAGCATCCATTATAATATTTAAGTGGGAGGAGTATATCCCACATTATAGGTGCACAGCAGAGAATATCCAAACATATTAGCTATTATATAGGGTGAGGGGTTGAATTGGCATAGTGAACACTGAACTCCATTGCTGAAATAAATCAGAGCAGAAATGGTCCTTCCAGACTTGCCACTCAAAACAGCGCTGTCTCTTTAAATCTTCCAGCATCTCTGAAGAGTGGGGGGAAGCAAGTGCCTTGCGTGAAATGGCACCCTTAAATGACATCATGCTCAACCAATCAGCAGCTTCTGCTGAGCTCCCTCCCCCTCTCCTGCTCAGTAGGATGAGTATGTTCCTTCTGCAAATGATCCAGGCCGCTGCTGGTGCTGATGCTGCTGAAGCTGCTGATGCTGTTGGGCTCGGTCTCCAGGCCATGCTTACTACACAGTAGGTACAGTGTGTCTTATCTCCACATATACAGTTATTTTCTGTTTTTAGTAATTTATTGATACTGCTATATTCTGGCTCAGATCTGTGAAAGGATATTGAAGTACATTGAAAGGATGATAGATAACGATGGAGGACACTTAAGATGGCTTTCTTTTCCTTACATTGACTAAAATGTGCTTGTCAAATAGCTATGAAACTAATGAATACGTCCAAGTTGTTTCAGTTGTGGTTAAGATGATATCATTATTAGACAACTATCGTTATTTCATATATTGCTCCTTAAGTTGTAGCCTACAAAGCCATAAAGAGTACCTTGCAAAAGTATTCTTGCCACTTTGTCAAATTTCAGTTACAACTATTAGGTAAAATAGATTTCATTGGGATATTAGTTTTGATACTAAATCAAAATAGTCCATATTTGTGAAGTGAATGCTTTTCCTGTTTTTAAAAGGCAAATGCACTGTAAGTATATATTATGCAGAACCATGTTTTCCCAAACTTTCAGCTATAAATTCTTTAGGAGTATTTATCTTTCTATCAGCCTTGCAAATTTTGAGATTAAAGATTTTTGGGGTATTTCTTCTTCCCAAAATATCTCAATTATAAAACTGATTAGATGTCAACATCAATCAAATTTCCAAATTGATTTATTTCTGGACTTTGACATGGGGGTTATAACACTTCCGGTTTATGGTTTTTAACGATGCTTCTTGGATTTCTTATATCTTGTTACATGGATAAAAAGATAGAATAAATCTATAAAACCAGACACCATCGGAAGAAGAGGTTGAGTTCATTAAGATAATCTCTGGATTTTTGTACTGACATGGTTTCTGCTTTTCTATTCTGGAGGTGGTTGAAGGCGTAAATGCTCTAATCCTTCAAAATGGGGAGAAGGACAAGAGGATTGCCTATTTACTGAACAGATTGGAACAATATACAAGGATACATTTTTATTAGTGTCATTGGGCTGCAGGTTAAACCCCAGTCATATGTCACACAGTGGCAGCTGACAACTGTGGATAACCTGCAGGGTTGGACTCACAAGTGCAAAAACAGGTCATTTTCTCCATTCAATTCAATGAAGTTTATTTATATAGCACCAATTCACAACACGTCAACTCAAGGCACTTTACAGTTCCCCATATTATACAGTGAAATTGATTTAAAGTTTTCTATCAAAGGAAAACCAGTTCATTGCTTCGACTCATTGACTTGAAGGCAATCCTCACACTAAGTAGCTTGTAGCGACAGTGGAGAGGAAAAACTCCCTTTTAACATGAAGAAACCTCGAGCAGAACCAGTCCTGGGATTGAGCTAAACTGAGAGCACATTGAAGCTTGCCACCCCATGTAGGGGATCTCATGAGGATCGTCACAAGAAAGCATAAATTAACTCTGCTTAAAAAAGGAAAGAGACTAGGGGGGACTTAGGTGATGTTTAAATCAATGAGCATCTGACCAAGAAGAACAGTGACCTTACCAGGGAGGCCAGGATCCTGAATAAGCAAGGAAAAATTTTAACTTGGGGGAAGAAGCACTGAAAGGCTTTTGTTAAACTGAACGGATCACCAGAGGAGAGAAAGATTATCTTCATCAGAGATTCTAAGGAGCTGGAGAAATTGACATGAAAACCATGTGAGGACAGAAAGTAACACTAATGCAACCAAGTTGGATTGCGCAATCAACATGTACTGATTTACAAACAGTTGCACATGTTACATCAGTAGCAGAGACTATGGATTCAAAACAGGCGAGAACCTCGGACATTGAGCCAGAAAATAATTGTATACGCTGAAGAGTCATATAACAGGCAAATAAAACAGAAAATATTATCTATAAATCTATAATAATTATCTATTATTATTATTACTGTTAAAGCTTGTTTGACCACATTATAGGCCAGTTTACACAACAGTTTAGGATCATTACAATATCCCGAGTCATGGGTTAGCTATGAAAGGAAGACTGATTTTAAGTTGGAAGGATATGAATTTAATTAAAGTGAGAATAAATGGTGGAAGAGTGGCTGTGTGGCAGAAACATGAGATATAAGTTATCGATAAATTGACAAAGGCGATTGAGGGCATAGTTGACAGAATAATGGTTGAATGTATTGAGGACGAGACAAATGTTCTGGTTGGCTGCATTTATAGAACACCAGGTTTTGTCCCGGGTTTAAAGAAGCATTCACAAATGTAAATTAGTATCTATCTTTCTTCTGATGAGACTTTAATATTGATTTTCTATTCTCGCAGATGCATGACCCTACTAAGTAGTTTATAAATACAGTGTACAGTATGACCTTTTTATCCAAAAATCCCCACACCCAGTAGAATTGCAACTCACTTTGCCACAATAACAGATGATATATTTACAATGCTTATAGATAACAAGACAAGCTGATTTTTTAATTTATAATATCAGTGACCCTCTATCAATGTTTGTGGCGCAATACAATGATAACACACCAGTGTCAGTGGTTTCTGACAGCTGATACAGGCAAGATGCTAAGGATGACAGACAAAAGTAAAAATAAATAAGAACAGAGGAGTCCATGATTCCATTCAGATAATATCAACTTAGTCCAAAGACTTAATATCCCAGGGAAAAAACACTGATAAAAATGGCCAAACATGTATATGATAAACACTGTCAATAAAAAATAATTACCAAAAAAAGAAAAAATATTCTGATGATCCGTGGATTAAAAAGAATTGCAAAATACCTGTAAAAATTACACACTGTATAGAGAATTGTTAAAGTATAGCTTGACAGAGACAGAAAATAAAATAACAGATAAAACAATTAATTAACCAACATTCTAGGGACATTTAAGTAAGAATTTCATAACAAAGGATTACATGACAATAAAAAAAATATATTAGAAAGGATCCAAAGAAGTTAATTGTCCACACAATTTTAAAGCAAATAATACAAGTATTCATCATTTTCTTTAAATAATCAATTGGTTACATGCAAGATCCATGATTCTTTAATAGCAAAGAACTGCAGGGAGGTGTTTATAACAAGATAAAAGATATAAGATGGAAGAAAGAAGTTAAAAATGATCGGGCACTTTTATTCACTGTAGATTGGTGTTTACATATTTTCGCAATGCTTGTGTTGACTTTAAATAATAAAGTCAAAGTGAGCAAAGATGTGTGTAGGAACACATGAATGTGTATATGTGTGTTTATGTGTACATAAATTAAGCCATTTGCTCACTTAATAGAATTTTTTACTATGGACTATTGTTAAGTAGAAATAGGGAAGATTGTTGGTGTTTAGGACTAGGAAAGAGAAGGAGTATGAATTAATATACCGGTATTATACTTCTTCATACCCCTTTTTTATGACATAAGCACTAAATTATGCATAAAACTAATTGTATATTTATCATTCAATATGCATAATATTTGTATCTGTTAAATTTGACATTTTACTGGATGTCTGAAATAAAGTTATTCATTCATTCATTCATTCATTCATTCATTCATTCATTCAGTGTGGTGGTAGTGTTCCAGTTTTATGCTTTTCTGAAAAATATATATGTGGTCACTTTTGCAACTTTGGCAATTCAATTTTTCACTGGCCTGCACAGTATTTAGTGCATCTAACCTATCTATCTTGTTTTTAAAACCCTTAATTGTACATATAACTAAATTTCATTTTTAAGAACTGCTAAAAAACTATCTGAAAATAAGATTTTGTTACTGTTAAAGTGAGTAGCAGCTGTATTACACGTGGAGGTTGGGTTCTGTTGCCCTAACTCTAAAACTTGTAATTCTGACGTTCTGGGGCATACCTATTGGAGTTTTTTACTAAGAGGTCAGAAATTCCACCCATTGAGTACAAATTGAACACATCACTTTTCCAGCTTCCTGCCTGTAAATAGCAAACCCACATCAAGGTCCTGAAACCACCATTGTTCCTCGTATTCATTATAAAACTATTTCGTTTGATGCCATATTCTTGACTTGCATAAAAGGAAAAATATTATTTTTTCATAGCCATCTGACCACAGGACCAATTTGCATCTGATTCTATTAAAAGGAGTTGGAGTAAAGGATAGCAAAATAAAAAAGGCAAAATAAACTTTTTTAGATTATTTGTCATTAACTTCACAAAATGCTCTAATTTGCATGCCAATAAAACCTCATAAAAACTGCTTCTATTTTCATGCATATAAACTGCATAATGAATTTCAAATAATTACAGTATAAGTTAGGAAAGTGATTTGTATGGCTATAATCTGACCATTTACATTTTGCATATTGTTAGACCAAAACAGGTGGAACAACAGTTTCACCATGTTGCTCTCAAGCCATTTACCAGCACTCTGTATTTTATACAATGGTCCTCTTTCTTTCTCTTTATCTAAAATAGAAGGCAAAGCCTGTTTTCACTTCCTGTTCTGTTTGAAAGGTTAATTCTTCTTTTACACTGGCTCAGATGACCATGTCCTGGTATAAATACTTGAGCTGTGACATCCCTGGGTACAGATATGCACTAAGGAATCAGACAACAGACAGAGATGTGTCCTACTGCTGAAAAGAAGACACAGGTGCAAAGGTAAGATCTAGCTTCGGTGACTGAATTCTCCTCTATTTTTGATGCACCTGCACCTGCTTCATGTCTACTTTCAGTTTGAAGTGTAATTAGGCAGCTTGCTCAGGTCTCTATGCATCCACTCCAACATTCCACTATCTATGATGTTAGTAGGCCCATCAGGACCTTGGGAGACCCAGAAGAATCTCAGCGATGGCGAAAAGAGATTACCTGGTGGAAGCAGCCAAGCAGATCCGAATGGCTCTGGACAGCGAGGTCAACGAAGACTATGAAGCAGCCTTCAGCTACTACAAGAACGGAGTGGATTTACTGTTGAATGGAGTCCAGTGTGAGTAGATGGTGTGATTCATTCTGAATGACCAGGTTTGCACAAGACCGGCATGTGACAGTGACATAAAAAAGAACAGGAAGTCAGAGAGATTTGATGATAAAGCCATGTTTTCCCCATAGTGTCAACAGTCTGTCAGCTGTGTAACATGTAGGATCAGCAGAGCTACAGGAATTTTAATTGTTTTTTTTTTATTATTTATTTATAGTGGACCCAAACAAAGATAGGAGAGAGGCTGTAAAGAGGAAGACCACTCAGTATCTAAAGCGAGCTGAAGAAATCTTCATAACCCATCTGCAGGATAACCTTGGAAAAGGAGGCTCTCATTTAGGGGTAAGTCATACCCATAGTAACCTACCTCTAACAAAAATTGAACAATGCTAAGAAAACCTAAACATATTTCCTTAGCTAGTGTTTATTTAAGTCATAATGTTTCAAAAGTTTTCTACATCACGTATACATAATAAATATCACAGTTTTGCTTTCAAAGATTAATCTGGTGTTTTTTTCCTGCTGCCGTGGAAACATTTCAATATTTTATGCAATACTTGGCCAGAAAATGCATATAGCAAATTGGTACTAAGAAAAGCAAGATTATGTATGCATGCACCTAATTCCATCCACAGGGTATTTCAAAGAGTAGAGATTAATAAAATTGCCTAAAAGGAAAATAATTTAAAAATCACCTTTGCTTGTAATCAAGGATTTTCATTATCCACCATAGCCCAGCACCTGACTTGTGTTATCTTTGGGATTGATTGCTAGGGCTACAGCAGTCTGAGATTTCGCCCAATCCGACACTTGAGTTCACCCGTAGAAGATCTGGAAATGTGTAAAGTAGTGGGAGTCACTGATAAGGTAGGTGAAGTTCTCTCACTTCAAACCTTTAGACATGCTCTTATAATTATTATAAATATTACACATTTCTTGACACAAAATGTAAAGATCTCTATAATAAAAAAGTATAAATGTTGCTTTAGTAATTTAAACTAATGGCAAACAGATTAAGAAATAATGCATTTTTAATGTAATACTAGCTGTTAATACCTTACACCCTCTCCTTTAGTCTTCTAAAACATTCTAAAGGACTATAGCTTAGATCTTTGACCATACAATCTCTATCTTAACAGTATTTTTTTGTAATATTTATCTGCTTAGATATCTAATTCTATTTCCCATTCCCAGTTATTCAGGTTCTTTTTTATTAAAATTGTGTGACATTTCAGAGTCCTCTATCTAATTGTGTCTAACAAGCAGCCTTTGGAATGGTAATGAGCCCTCAACATCAAGCATACTTAATAGTTATGATGAGGAACATTTCCACATATCCATCCTGTGTTTTAAATCAGACCCACCATAAACTGGTGCTTATAAAAGGTTAATCCTCTTCTAATCTGAACAAAGTCCATGTTTTTACTTGAAGGCCAAGCGAGATACAAAAAAACAGATGTTTTTCATGATGGGACAGAAGAGCTTTACTTGTGAAATTTCTCTTACAAACTGGTTGGCATGGAGATTTATTTTATTCTTATTCATTTTTGGAAAACAAATGTTTTACCACCCTAACCAGCCTGCTCAAAGTGCATGTTGACAAAGCAAACTTGGACCCTTGTTTGTCATATTTCCACTTATATTAAACAATTTCCCTTATTCTTTGATGAAGTAATTTGTGAATAAATATTAGACACTTTAGGTGATTTTCTTTTCTGTGATATCTTGTCTGTCACATGTTTAAATTCAGCAAAGAACAGCTGGTCACCTTATGCTGATAAACCAGGGAAATTAATCAAAGCATGCTTGAAATTTGCTTTATACAGTCAGTTTTTGTAGGATTTCTTGTAAATACCAACAGATGAATCAACAGCACTTTTAAAGCAATTTAGTACCTTTAACATTTCTTAATGTGGTCAAATGTGATGTCACACCTTAACATCAAACTGTGTTTTAGCTCTACAAAATGAAGTGTTTTTTTTTTTTTTTGTAAATGATCTACTATACTCAACCATGAAATTCATTCACAAAAATATTTACATTAGAATGATTTATGTGCTTCTCTTTGTTAGAATGACATATATGTACATATTTATTTTCTAAAGGTCCTGATTGTCCAAAGCATGGTCAACAAAGAGACATTTGTTGTAAAGGTAAGGATGCTCTACAGAACTCTAGGGAATAAAATGATCAGATCAAATTGTATATTCTATATTATATTTTCATTTGAAAGCAACCTTCTACTGATTGTTGAAAACTATATGCAGTAGGTATAGATATATACATTATATTTATATATAGTATTAAAAGAAGAAGAAACACTTTCTATTCTTTTCAACATGTTTTCTTATATAACTACATTTTCAGATCCATTCTTATGTGACAAGGTCAGCTAATGGTAGTCAGATGATGTTACCATGTCCAAAATCAAATGCCTTAAAGAGAACGGTTATTTATCGTGCCATCGTTTATTGGAATAATTGCCCACTGAATATTCTGCACTTGAACTGAATAGTAAAGTTTTTTTTTATTATTTCTTGAGAATGCACAATTTAAATGTGTGAGTTGTGAATTAACATATTTATTGTTTGAAAGTGAGATTTTTGTAATGGACATGAATGTAACAATTTATTGAAATGATTTCTGATGACCTCTTTTATAATAATAATGTCAATAATGTTTAATTTTTAGTTTTTTTTAATTGTTAACTGATTTTTTTTTGTCTGGTGGACTCCAGGAAGACAAGCTCATCCTACTTTTAGTAATAACTAATGGGGATCTCTATCAAACAACAAACAATAAAAAATATGAGGGGGCCACTAATTTGTACATGTACATTTGTATACATATGTACTGCCCCGAAAAGGCGTATACAAAATCTTTTTTACATTTCTTACAAAGTTGTAATGTGAATAAGAATTGTTGGTGTTTTCTTAACATTATTTACAGCCAAAACTTTGCAAGTGCAGCTCTATTGATTCATTGTGGAGAAATGTACTTGTTACGTCGGCTAAATGGTCAAAAAGAAGAAAATTAGTTTATATATATATATATATATATATATATATATATATATATATATATATATATA